CCAGTACATAAATTCATTAGAATAATGCCTTTGTTCCTGATCTGCTGGACTAGACAATCTAAAATCTTCAATACTTTGGGAAAACTACAGTTTTTATACTCCTTTGGGTTATTTTTACATTTGGTCACATTATACATACAAATTTGTTTGCATTTGGATTTTAAGTTATACAAACCAACACGGAGTAGAGGAAAGTTATGAATTTTAAAAGACGTGACGCATGATTTTCAACACTTTTGTCCTGCTTTTGTATTCTGCTCTTGTATTCTGGCTCTTGTATTCAGGGCTCTCTCTGACATCCCAGCTTAAATCCAGTGCAACCAAATACCTTTAGAAATAATTAGCAGCAGAGTCCAGCAGTGCAACTAATTTTCAGTATAAATCCAGCTTTTCTTTGATGGGTTAGGGGATTTATTGGAGGCCTCCAGTGAGCTATAATGAACAAACAACATTGTGACAAAGGAACACAAGAAAAAGGACAAAGTTGTTTAGGAGTTTAAAGAAGAGAAAGGCTAAATGAACTGACTTTAGGGCTGAGAAGCTGCAGGGAGCAACTGCTCAGGCAAGCGGCACTAATGAAAACTAATACTGAAGCAGAAATCTGGTTATCATAAAGATGTGGATGAAAAAAAATGAAAGAAAGCAATCAGAAGTCATCAACAGAGAACAAGCATTCTTAAACCAAATCAAATCTGCATATGTGACCATGTAACACTCTTTCTTTCCACTTCACAGTTACAAATGATTGCACGATCAGACAGAACCCACGTTAAACACATTGACATTTCTGATCGTAAAATGAGAAAATGTAAAAAGAAATGTCCTGAAAAAGTGCAGATTTTATTCATGTGGAGAAGAGGAAGTCAGCCACAGGTAGGCAGTGAAGAGCTGTGAAGGAAGCAGCTTCAGCATCCAGTCTGGATACAGACTTTGGTCTTCCTTCTCTGTTTGAACTCTGTCCTTTGATGTTGTGACTGAAAGCAGAGGCCCAGCAGCTTTCTTAGTGATTCTGACCACAGAAAGCTGAGAGGAAAATAAAACTGAAACCAAATACCATCAAAGATGATACTAATTTTATCTGCATGTCTCCGTTACTGTTATTAATTTCTATTTTCCCTTTCTTTACGTTTCCTCAGAGAGGGAAGAAATCAGTATGAAAAAGCTTTTGGAGTCAGCTCAAAGGACCTGTTTGAAGCTCTCTACAGGTAAAAAAAAAAAAAAAACTGCTGCACAATCACAGCCATGAAATATGTTGGCATATTTATAATGCATTGCTTTCTCTTTGTTTTTAACATGTTCTTAAAAATTTCCCTCCAAAAATAATCTGACTGGTTGGATTAATTAGGAGGGAGAACATGTGAAATGAAATGAGGCAGAGAGAGAAAGTGAGAGGGCAAGGCTGGTGATGTGAGGAAGCTACAGGCAAAGAAAAAATAATAATAATCCACCATTGTCCTAAAGGGTCTGGTATGTTTATAGCATCCGGTGCCCACAGTTTTAACGCTTCGCTGATCTGCTGGTCAGCAATTTTAAGGGTCATCACACACACAGCACAGTGTGTTAGCTAAAAGATTTTGATCAGCCTGCCTGAGGGCCTGTTACAATAACACCAGCAGACCCAGGGGAGGAGAAGCCATCCAAAGTGAGAGACACAGAGGAATAAAGCACAAAAACATCCTTCTTTTTTACTGGTAGTTCCGTCCTCAAGTGAAACGGGAAGGAATTTATTGCCATAGAGGTTTCATTGTTATTCTACATCTAAGGGACTAGACTTTGTCCTCTTTGCAATCATTTAAAAAAAGGATTCATCCCCTTCATTATTTTATAGAAAGCAGCTGACAGTTTTAATAGAGGCTGCTTCATTGCTTTAGATTAATGCAAAAAAAAAAAAAAATACTATACCAGTGATGAGATACATTTGCAAATCAGTGTCAATGCATTGTAATGAAAGTGTTGTACAAAGAACAATTTGGGCACCTGTGCTCAACTGATTTGCTGTGGAGAAGCAGTTGTTGGTGCCTGCTGATTTCCCCTGTGAATGCGGAGGGTAAATTAGCAAGGGAAAACAAGCGTCGAAGTCATTCACTGCATTCTTGGAGCTCTGCAGCAGGAAGACTCAAGGGTGCCTGGATGACTCAGACTCCTGTTTACCCATCGCCATTTAACCAGCCATGTTCTGCACCTGAATAATTTACAGCCACATCCCTTTTTTTAAGCTCCAGTTCTCAACGTTGAGGAATCAGGAGTGAGAGCGATAAAAAAAAGCAGAGGAAAGTGAAATTCAAACATGCAGCTTTATGTCAAAGAGGGATTTTAATAACTTTAAATCCTGAGTACTTGAAATTATCTGGTTCAATTAAGCAATGAAATTGATTAGATTAAAAAAAAAAAAAACAGAGTTTAAGAACCTCTGCAATATAAAGATCACCAGTCTTTGCACAAAAACATGAAATTTGATGTAATCTCAACCAAATGCTTTTAAGTCATCAGTCCAGACCTTCCACACAAAAGCTTGGCCATCCATGACTCTTTATGCACTGGTTGTACACCATGTGAGAGAAATAGCAAACAATATACGAATTGATCTCTCAGCATCAACCCATGTAGTTAGGAGATTTCAGCCAAGATATAAAGTATTTAGAATATGAATTGATTGTAAAACAAACAAAAAAACAAACAAAAAAAACCTTGGCCTCCTCTAGAAAAATAAAAATGATCTTTCAACAGGTATTTAACCAGATTAATGAATCCAAGCATGTACCAAAACTACAAGGAAATAGTTAAATAGCCTCTATATATAGAAAGAGATACAACTGAACAGGATAACTTTTGTTATAGTCCAAACTTCTACAGTTGAACGATAATTGATGTCCTGTTGGCAAAGGAAGGCTGTAAACAGTAACTTATAACAGACAGGGTAGCAATGAATGTGATGTTCAACCTGGAAAGATTCACACAGAAGAAAAGGAACAATTAGGGAGTTTTCCTGCTCAGGCCCCAGTGGAAATTGCAACCATAGAGAATCATGATGTCATGACTGAGCAGAGGAATTATAGGTACGTCTTTAGCCCCAGGAACCAGAGACTGATGGTGGAATAGAGGCTGGAGGAAAATGTGGACGGCCCTTTTTTTAAAGCAGTGTCCTAGATGATGATTGGCTCTGGCGGACATGTGAAATGGGCTTATAGGATTGCAGTATCAGAGATCAGAGGGTATTTTTTCTTAAGCTTCATTAGGTAATTTTGGAAAATGCAGCATAGTTTTAATTAGACAATGAATGGATGCTGGAAACCGTTTAAAATAAGTTTTATACAGTAAAAGAGGTTACCTGGCTAAATCTGGATGTTTTAGCTTGGAAATAAACATTTCCACTACACTGCAACAATAAAAAAAATGAATAAACATTTATTAAAATAACTGTATTTGCACTTAATTTGAGAAGGCAAATAAGAACATCAGCCAATGGAGTATTTCTACCCTTGTAATAAGATAATTAGATATTATCCACTTATTTTTCTTATTTGAAATGTAAATAGTCTTATTCTATTGGCAAGTATCTCATTTACCTGCTAAATTCAGGAAAAAAGGCAATTATTTTTAAGCAAAATGGACTTAAATAGTTTTCAATTCTTTGCAGCGTATACAGTTGAAAGAAAGAGAAGGAACACATTTGACTTTTAACGATGCTTTATTTACACAATTCAAAACATATGGAACACATGTGGAAGTGAAACTCCAGCCTTATTCTTGTTTTAACTTTGCACCTCCACAGAGCCACGGTATCAAGGTGAGGTCTGTCTCTACGGGACAGGTGAACGGCCATCTTTGTTTTGCTGTTTAAAAAATTGAAAAGTCGGGCCTTTGGCTTCTGTTTCTTCTGTTTTAGGAAACTCCTCCTATGAAAGAATGTTTGTAAAAACAGTCCCAATTAAAACACACCAATTAAAATGCTAAAAATTGTCTTTAGTCTTGTGCATTCCATAAAATCGTGGATTTTTTCAGACAGACCTCAGAAAGGACAGTCGTTTAAAACACCCCAGGAGTGAACCAGTGGCCAAGAAAGAAAGAAAGAAAGAAAGATTACAGAGCTTTTAATGTAATTAGCTCTTGACACTTTCAGTCTTCTGTTTGGCCCTGGAGTCATTTGATTTCTCTTTTCTCATCCTCTGTAATCACAGTCTAAGAGCCAACAATGACTCAACTTCTTCTGGATGTCTTTGTGTCATATCAAGTTGCTCTGAGTGCTGGATGGCTGCTCCACTACAGAGATTTTAGACAAGTAGAAACCAGAAGAAAGAGGATGTATGTGTGTATTGGGGCCTTATGGTGGTGCTGCTTGATGAGGTGGAGATTTCTCAGAGCAGCAGCTCTCACCACAGGCTCTTCTGTTCTGCCGCACCCTGTCTGTCTCACAGAGACACACGGAGCGGGCGCTGGGAGAAACTTTCTAAATGAGAAGCGTTTCTGTTTGCACTTCGCTCCTTCGGGTGACAGTTTAGTAAAGATGATAAAGACGCTTCTGCTTCCATGAGAGGAGACATGAGGGGAAAGGGATTAATAAAAAATAACTTGTCTGTTCAGGTCAGACGAGGAAATGGTGAAATTCATGCACCTGATGAATTCCATCTGGAACATCTGTGGCAAAGACGTGGTCACGGCCTTCGATCTTACGCCTTTTAAGGTCATCTGTGACCTTGGAGGTACGTTTTCCAGCATCTTACATTTTCCAGTAAAGAGTTCAGACCTTTCCGAGCACTGAATTTGCAGGTCAGCTTAAGATGAAGCGCATTTAGGGGATAAAATCTAATATACTCCAAGCCATAAAGAAAATTAATTTTCCCCCTTGAGACACTGTAAGCAAAGTCATACAGCTTGAATTGTAACTGGGGAATAAAAATACTGATAGTTAAATTCTAAGATGATGGTTTAATGTGGTAGATGAGGCAAAATATAACATTATGACAATGTCAACTTAAACAGGATTAAGTGTAAAACAATTCTACTCTTTATGATTTATCTGATCTACCATCTATGAGCCCTGAGTATTTAAATGTGCATAAATGTACAAAGATGCTGAAAATTGCAAGATAAAGAGTAAATTTATATTACCGGAGTGGTCTCCTCTTTGACATGAAATCAAAAGTTTTATGTATACATCTGCAATGAGCCCTTTAAAAGACTTGGTAAAGCGATGTGGCCTGATGTTAAAATTAGTTTGAAATCCTTGAATTAGAATTTAAAATGAAATTTTTTTCTTTGCCTTTATTAATTTTTTTCTAGTCGTTTAAAGGTCACCTAGTTTTTCTTAAATCTTTACAATATATTCAGCAGAAATGAATGCAGACCCACTCATCCATCAGCTTTAACAGAGAAGGAAGTTTAATTTTTCATGCGCAATATGATATTCAGTATTTTAATTGAATTATTTAAAGTTAGTGAGGATTACTTGGTAAGGCAAACATGAATTAGTTAGTTTCAGTTGTTCTTTTTTAGATTTGTGCCTCAGACTTTTCTGCAACCTGACAAACTTCCTGGGCCAGTTTTAGGGAAGCAACTGAAAGAAACAATTGACTACAGCACAATGCAATGTCAGCTTAAGGCAAAATTCTAAAGTTTCTAATAATTTAGATTGTTATTTGCCCTCTGAAGAAGTCAGGAGATTTTTGTTAACAGGAACTTAGAGACCTAACCAACCAGCAATGGTAGAATTTAAAAGCCCTTGTCATGTCTTAAGAAGAAAGACTCTGAATGAGTGCAATCATGGAGGCAAATGATCAGTTAAAGAGTTTTATTGAAGGTTGTGGTCTGGACTGAGATTATATCGGCTGCCTGGGTAATCTGGGCACTGCTGGAAAAGGTGAGGCGACAGGTGAGCAACTGGAAGGTGCTGGTTTGAATGATGAGGTGCGCTAGAACTCACTGAGAGGGAGCCTTGGCGTCGGTTTTTGAGGATGATCTTCAGTGTTCCGGGCAGAAGGTGCAGGTCCGGTTGAAGACTTCCTGAGTTGGTGTCAGAGGCTGGAAAGGCAGGTGAGCTCAGGCAGGACTTAAGCAGAGAAGGGATCCGAGGCTTCACGGATTCCAGGAGGCAAACTGGGAGCGTCTCAGGCGAGTGTCCAGAGTGAAGTGGTTTCTGAGGAGTGGTTCTCGGGCTTGGGATCCAGAGTTATAAGAAGGAGGAAACAGAGAGCGGAGGTTAGGTTCAGGTTTTTTTTACGGTTTTTAGGAGGAAGCAAGGCTAGGAAGAAGATCAGTCTGTACCACATAGAAGCATTAATGAACTGACACCCTCCTCCTGGTTCCAGCTCCTTATAAAGGGCGGTAATCAGCTCACATGTAAAGCACCTTCCCATCCAGCCCTGCTGAGGAGAGAGAGAAGGAAAACCAGACCTGTACCCAGACCTAGGAGTATGACAGCCCTGTGTTGACCTGACTCTTCTATTAGCTGGCAATAGTGCTAATAACTGCTTTGGCCAGTTCCATTTCGCCAGTACTATTCAAATAGAAGTCATTATGAAAACCACTGACCTACTTAAGTGGTTTTAATTTCCTTACAGATTTGGATTGAGCTTCTGTATATCATATGAGATTCAAGACAGAGGAAACCCTGCTGATAAGAGGGTGTTTAGGTACATTTGGTTTGGTGTAAACAGTTTGTATGAATTTAAAATATATACTTTGCTTACCACAGTGAAAAAAAAATCCATCCATTTTCCTTCATCCCTGCTGGGGTAGCGAGGGGTGCTGGTGCCTTTCTCCAGCGGTCAATGGGTGAGAGGTGGGGTAACACTCTGGACAGGTAGCCAGTCTATCTCAGGGCAAAACAGAAATAAACAGTACAAACTATATACACTTACTCCTAAGGAGAATTTAGAGGAGCCAATTAACCGAACCGTCATGTCTTTGGATTGTGGGAGGAAGCTGGAGTACCTGGAGAGAACCCGCGCATGCTCAGGGAGAACATGCAAACTACATAGAGAAAGACCCCGGGCCGGGAATCAAACCCAGAACATTGTTGCTGCAAGGCAACAGTGCTACTCACTGGACCACTGTGCAGCGCGTGAAAAAAGTCATTGGTTTGAATTTACTTGTTTGATATAAATATACAAAAAAATTTACCAACGCAATAATTTAAAATCTAAATACACATGAAGCAGGGGACTTTGCGCCATTACACCCACATGGAGATGAAATGAAAAGTATTTTCTGCCTTAAAAAAAATTATATTTTTGTCTCAGATGTCCCATTATGCTTACAAAAAAAATGTATTTGCTCTCTGGCTCTTAACTCTTTCTGTTGCCCTCTGTCCTTCTCCTTCACACCCCTCCTCCTCTTAAATTCTACTTATGATTCTCTCTACCTATATTTAATCCTCAAAGGTGGTCTATATTTTCAGCATGGATAGGTTATTTATTTTTTTTTTTTGTCCAATTGCTTTCTCCACCCCTATCTCTATTGCCAGTAAACTGCCACATATCATTTAAAATATTGCTTTTAAAAAGAAAATAATCCCATCTACTCTGCAGCTATAGTAATTTACAGGACTGAGGATGGCGCTAATACAGATGTGACGCCAATCTTCCATATATGGAATGTCTTCCTGTTTTTTTGGAATGGAAATGCCAATTGTGCTTTATTCAATATTTACATATTTTTCTGCCTCTCAGGTATGTTAATATATGCTCTGTAAACCCTGAAGTGTCTACAACAAAAAAAGGCTACAGCTCAAACAGTATGTATTTATTGAATAAGAACAATCCCCACTAATGAACAAATCAGTAAAACATCTTAAATGAGGCCATAGCTTTTCTGGCAAACACAAAGGGAATCATAAGGAATAGTCTGTTACATTTAACTCTCTTAGGTAAATGGTTTAAGCATTTTGAATGAGATTTGATGGGATTATTTCAAAATTAATCTAGATATATCAGATTTTTTTTTGTCAATCTTAGAGGAAATTATTTTCAATAAAATAAAAAATGCTATTGTTGAGGAGGACTTAGTTAACCAGTCTCAGCTACTATCAACTCAGATTTATCTCCAAAAGCATCTTTGAAGAGGTTTTTTTTTTTTTTTTACATACCGGTAACAAGCAAATGGCAATGGCACAAAGATTAAACAGAGATGATAAAAAAGATGGAGGTCACAGCTTCTAATGAACTGGAGAGGCAAGATTGAGGAATGAAGGATGTCATGAGACCCAGAATAGCCTTTGTGAGTGAGATAATGGGCTCTTTTCCCTTTTCACTCTTGTCTCATTCTATTTCAAGTGAATTTAACAGATAAAAATTGACTCCAGTCATGTTCTGACAAAAGTATAAAGTGGTACTAAGTATAATTCAGAACAAATGTCACCAGATATGAATGTGTAATCTTTAGTTTACTTCACTTACTTAAAGGTAACCTTTAGTTCAGCATTAAAACGGTTAACAATCCTGAAAGATTCCCTTTGTGGTAAATATATCTGACAATCCTGATGTAACATTTTTGCAGTTGGAAATTTTCCACAGGTTGGCCACATGTGGAGTGTTCTACCTCATCTGACCACTTAGGGGAGCTCTGGAGCCACTTAAAGTACCTTACATCGATCCTTGTCTTTTGCTTCTCCTATGACTTTCTTCATATGTGGTTATCCGTTCATGCTTATGCATGAAGCAGCAGATCTAAAGAGTGAGCGCATGTGAGCATCAGGAGGGTGAAGGGTGAGGCTGCTGTTTCCCTGCCCCACCATGGCTCCATCAGCATCTGTTGGGTCGGTGCACACCTGCTGCTCAGGACTCTTGGTCTCCCAGAGGCTTCTGTTCATCCATCCATCCATCCATCCATCCATCCATCCATCCATCCATCCATCCATCCATCCATCCATCCATCCATCCATCCATCCATCCATAATTAATCCATCCATCCATCCATCCATCCATCCATCCATCCATCCATCCATCCATCCATCCATCCATCCATCCATCCATCCGTAGATCTATCCTAGATGAGCTTAAAATTTTCTTTTGGATTATGCAATAAAAAGAGCCCAAAGGTTAAGGGTCTTTTTTCGCTGTTTCGATTTGCATCTCTGGGCCTCTGCGCATTAATTTAGTGTCACTCTGCAGAGAAACAGCTGTGAAGAGCATGAGGGGAAACTGCATAGCAAATCTGGATCAATTTCTCAGTCAAATCTTCCAGTATACTGCCATGAAAAAAACTGTTATGCCTGTTGATGTTCATATTGTGTCACCTTGCAGCCACAGAGTTCAGAATTTTTATGAGGATTATATGTAAAGAGGGATTTAAAAGGAAAAGGGTATGTGGATTATTTTTTTTATGGATCAAAACATCTGAAATGCATGGCATCCAAAATATTAACTGTAAAAGTGAAAGGTGAAACTCAGTATACCATGATGCTTTCAAAAAATCATGTAATTATTAATTAGATCCTCACTGTGTGCATTAATCTCAGTGTAAATATAATTCTAGGGTTAGGATGATGATGAAGGACATCAGATATGATGGCCATAGATAAAGTTGTTTAGAAATTTAAATCAGGTGGGTGAAATTGTTAACAGCACAAAGTATTAGGAACAAACTTTATTAGCAGACCAACACCCTGAAGTTTTGCCAGAAACCTTTGGATTTATAAAGCTTACATCGGGTTCACTTTTTGATATAATACTCCAACAATAGCATCTCAGAGGGTCACAGAAATTCTGAAGGGGCATGATTTGACTGGACAACTATAAGTCATTCATTCAACAAATCAGGCTTTTATTACTACTAACAACACAACAAAAAAGCCATAAGAAACACCTAATTTTTGTTTAAACAAGCTTCACCCTTTAGCTTAAAAAGCACAGTTCTCCGTAGGAATTAGGCAGAAAAACATGGAGGCAGTGTCATGCTGTGGGATGCTTATATTCAGCAGTAATAAAAATGCTGTCGGAGGTGAAATGAAGATGAAGGAGCTGGGCAAGCCTGAAGAAATGTGTTAGAGGCAGCAAGATACTTCAGACTAATGCAACAGAGTACATCTAAGTAAGCAGCTTCAAAATCAAACATGTTTCATTGAGTGACTTTAGATTCCTTTTAGACTTTGATTTAATTGGAGAATTTGAAATACAATTGGGAACCACTTACTTTACATCTTTCCTCCATTTATTTTATTTACTTATATTGTGTAATGCTAGCCTAGTAATCTAGCCCCACCCACCAGCGGCCAAAATCATTTTTGCCTTCGAGTTTGGTCTAGCCTCGATCAATGCCCCAGGCCCTAGAACTGGCGGGCCAATCACAACACAGAGATGTGTTTTGAATTTCTGGATGCAAAGCGGGCGGGGTTTTAAGGGCGGGACGACAAAGCTGAGCGACGCTGGAGAAAGCACAACAAGAAAGATGGCAACAACTATTGAAAAGTTCTCGTTTGACTCAGTTTTGGAATCCGTTTAGGAAGGATTAGACTTGGGGTTTTCATTGAAACGTGAGCAGGAAGAGGCTCTACGCTCATTCAATTTTGAGAAAGACGTATTCGCTGTTTTACCGACAGGCTGTTTGTTTACACTCCCCCACCAGCTTTCTGTCGCACTTATTACGTCACAGTCAGTTGTGCTGGTTGGTCAGAGCGTTGGCCAATAGGCACAGACATGGTTTGAAAAACATTGGGTTGTTCTCATCAACAATCTTCCGATGCCTCATTCATCTGGGCCAGACTAAATTACACATTTAATCTCACATTTAGTCTGGTTTATCTGGCTATTTTGATGCTCTATAAATGCAGAAATGTGTTTACTGCATGTTATAAGCTACTTTCTTCTTGACTATGACATCTTTATACTAGATTTTCTTGGGTCTGTGCGAACAAAAATAAATAGGGGAATAGACATGTCTATAGGTAATGAAATGAGAAAAAGTTTGGGGCTTTTGAAAACTGTTGCAAACCTTTGAAAGGCTAGAAATGAAGGAGTAAACCTGACAGAGTTGGATGTGATTCTTTGAGGCAGCCGGGTAAGCCAAACAGTGAGCTGTATGTCTGATTTTGCTCTTCATCGTTGCTCTTTGATTCTCCTCCCCCCCGACCCCTGTTTGATGTCAGCACTACCAAGCATCCGTGTGTGCAGAAAAGAGGGAGCTGATACAGTATAAAGTAAGCCAGTCATGTTGGAGGATAGCTGGGAGGTATCCTGCCCTGTATGGTGGCTAGTCTAAATGGTTTCATAGGTTTGTTAAAGTGACAACCTTTGAAACATAATTATGTCTCTGACTCTCTGTCTACAACTTTCTTGTGTATTTATATTCATTATTTTTTGAGGCACGAAACATACTAATGCTGCTCAAGCTCAAAGAATCCTATTCTCACATAATATTTCTAGTTTTATCTACCGGTAACAATCATGAGTCCGTGTGTGTAAGTGCTCACTTCAGATTCCAATTTCCACTTGTGTAACCTTTGCTCTGTGCCTAGATTTACCTTCACTGCATGTGGAATATCAACTACAACTCAATAGAACAAGGCCACAACTTTACACTCTCAAAATCAAGACATTCTTGTCAAATAAATTCTTGAGTTTTACCGGAGGTTGGTCAGGTTTGACAGAAGGTTCAGTGTCACTTCATAAAGCTTCCAGCCGTAGAAGCAAGGAGGAACAGTGAGTGTTAAGGTTTGAGTAGGTTTAACAAGTGATACTTCCTGGAGCTCCTGTTGTACAGTAGGTAGCTCCTTAGTGGCTCAGGGAACGACAGCTGATGAATTAGTGACAGAGTGATGGGCAGTCTGGGCTTATTAATGCAGCTGGAGGGTGACAGCTGGCTCATGTTCTACAGAAAGGATCTGCTAAATGGGCAAATGGCCGATACAACAGAACTGAACAGATATGTCAGACTATATTGAGTATTTTACCTGAGAAATACAGCAGCGCTGATATGTGGAGTCAAATATCTGCAGATTCCAATATTTTCTTCTCTAATGTTTTTTCATAAACCAATACGAACCACTTTGGTGCTGCCAGCTGCTACATGTTTATACATATCTTATGTTTTATTAGGTTCAGTGTTTATATGCCTGTCAGAGAATCAGGTTGTTTGGCTCTTCTTCTATTAGATTTTTGCGCTCTCCTCCAATGAGACCCATTACCTACAAGCCTATAAGCTAAATAAATCCTGATTATTGTTGCATTTAATTATTAGTTTATCTATTAAGATAAAACACTATAGTTTTCTATGTCTTCTGCTATTACTTCTGTTGCTCTTGCAGAGTAAAACAGGATAAAATGACATCAAATCTAATAAAGAGTAAATAAAAGATGAACATCTTTTATTTACTCTTAATCAACACTAAAATGTCTGTAGACTGTCTGCCGGCAGGGAGATTTCACCAGGCTCTAACTGTGCATTTAAAATGAAAGATATCGGAGAATCTTGCAGCTACATCTTTTGATATATAATGAAAAAAACAGCTGATATGAAATTAATAAGACTTCGGCTTGCTTGAATCATAGAAAACAACCAAATAAAACATCATTAACAGCAGCCCAGGACCGTAAAGTCGCATCGGTGGCCTGACTGTGGTCTCATGTCTACTGGAAATTAATTTTAGGAGATAATCAGATATATATTTTCATATGCACATTTTTTAAGGAGTAAAAATAAATCATGTGAATACTTCTCTCTTAACAGAAATGGAAGCTTTTCTTTTTCTTTTCTTATCATCATTCACTGTATTCTAGAGAATTCTGCTTAATGAATGCACAAAGATTCTGCAGGTAATACTTTTTAGAATGTTCTCTTTTCAAATTCTAAAGTATTTTAGTATCTAACCTTAACAAACTGCAAAATGAAGGACATTGTTTGTAACCATTGTTACATGAATCCAAATGTGTTGATGTCAGATTAATCTCTGGAGATCCCGTTAAACTTCCGTAACTTTGTTTTGAAAGCTTACAAGAAAATATGATTCTTTAGAAACAACACAGATTGTAATGTAAAAAAAGATGATTGCAAAGAGCTCCATGTGCAACGTTTCAGCCTTTTTACTCAAATTATTGTTAACATGGGTTTGAGTTTTTATGAAATCTGAGAATGCTCATTAGTCTGCTTTAAATGCATCATATCATATCATAGATTCTCTATTATATTTTAAACATTGATAAAAGCCAGTGTGTTTGGGGGATGCTGTGACTTTCTGCTAGATCCTACTGTCTCATGGATGCAAACAGGAGTTTATAAAATATAATTAAGATTATCATTATATTTCAGATAAAACCCTTTTACTCTGAGCAGCTTCCAGGGTTACATGGACTCCCTCTTCTTTCTGGTTTATTTTTTATCAGTGTTTGTATTATTAGCATTAATATTACATAAACCTCATCCCCAAAGTGGTAAAATGAATAGAAATCATGCAACTAATTGAGTTTTTGCTGAAAGCTTAACTACACTTATGTGACTGCACATCGTGTGCAGGTTTATCTTTTGTTAAGATCCAGATCGCCGTCAATGAAGGTTATTTATACACTGTTTATAATAACTAAATGTAATGATGTCCTTCTCTACAGGCTGCAGTGGAGCATTAGCCAAGCAGTGCACGTTGGCCTACCCAGAATGCTCTGTGACGCTCTTTGACCTCCCCAAGGTAGTACGCGTGTCGAGGGAACACTTTGTCTCAGAGGCTAACCAGAGGATCAGCTTCCAGGAGGGTAACATCATTACTCTGTAAATTCTCCTGACACTCATAGTATCTGCCTCAAGTGCATAGTGCTTATGTGTTGGCATCAAAACAGCCTCAAAAAACGAATAAATGTTCTTGTATTGATTGTTAAATGTCTTTAAATCTTCCTAAGTTTTCAAATTATCTTTGTTTTATTTTTTAGGCTCATATGAGGCACAGATAAGCTTTTGCACTTTCATTTAGGTTAATCAGGCACCTTTCACACCAGGTCAAGTAAAGGGATTAAGAACAGAATTAAGGTAAATGTTTAATTTATAAGAACGAAGGAGACAAAATGTGTTTTGCTGTCTCTTCAAAAACTTTCAGTTAAATACAGTTTGATCTTAATAAAGCTCCTAGTGATGCAGCATAATGATTAGGATAAAAAGCACAAATTGACATATGATCAATCCTTTATTTAAAGATAAAATGGCAAATAAACGGCCTATAAAAGTGAAGGTTTTGTGATACAGCAGGAATACAGGTAAAAAATACTTTATTGTTGCATGTGAAGAAATTTTGTTCTTGGTTTTTTATCCAAAAAAAAAAAAACCAGCATAAAACATGTGGCTCATCTTTGTTCAAAGCACATCATGTCAATAAAATAAGATAACACAGTACCAAGTAAAAAAGCACTCTGAATGTACAGACCACAGCCAAGCAGCATATTGTGACTTACACTTATTGCAAAAACCCGTGCATAATTTGGATCATTACCAAATTTAAATGAATTCTTCCATGGCGTGAGGTGCACCTTTGGTAAAAATTTCCTCAAAATCCTTTCATATGTTTATAAATAAGGCTTCTTTGATCAGCAGATCATGACTTGGCATGGCTCACCTTAAGGTTAAGAAAGATTCAAAGGAGCCCAGACATAGAAAGAATCAAAGAAGAAGAAAAGATGCTGGTGAAGGTTCTCAGTCATCCAGGTCATCCCAAAAAAAAAAAAAAAAAAGAAAATTAAAAACAATCCACGGGACTTTGTTTCCAAGTTTGAATATGTTTTGCTTCCCATCCAGGAAGCTTTTTTAACTCAAAATGTCTGAAATAATGTTGAGTTTGAGGTTTTATACAGCAGCCCAACAAAGCCTTGTTTTTGTTTTGAAGACATGCAAATTGGAACAGGTGAAGGGGTCTACCCATTTGGAATGATGGTTGTTTGGCTTCTTTTGTTAGAGTGCGATGTCCCATACCCATCTAAGTGTCTGAAAGGTTGGTTGTTAAAGGGGATTGTTGGTCTTCCTCTGCTCTCCTGTACCTTGTCTATTCAGCCACCTGAAATAAGTTCTCAGGGCAAGCATAAAAATAATCTGTCCTTTAATAAACTTGTGATAGAACCTTACAGGACAATATTTACACAATCAAAAACCTATTTTCTTTTCATTTGTACATAGATTCAGCTATGGCTTTTGTTACAAGCTGTTATCATTTTGAGACGATGATTTTTAATGTAAGGTTTAAAGTCAATTTACATTTAGCTTTTTCGCTTTAGAGTAATTTTCTTTTGTACAAATTCTACAATCAAAGTTACATTAAAAATATAAATTATATTCTTCAATGCATCTTTATAGCAGTTTTAAAGCTTGCATCACTTTAGTTTTTGGGGAGAGGTGCCCACAATTCCTGTCGGCGACCCTGCGCTGAAGCTGTCAATAGTCACTGCTGTCACTCTCTGGTTTAAAGGGGCAATGCTTCCACCATATAATGTTAGATCCAGAAATGGATGCAGAATGTGGATTATCACCAAAATGTGTTAGATGTATCCTTGGACTGTGCTGCACCTTAGATAAAAAATTCATCAAAATCCGTTCATAACTTTTCAGGTTATCCTGTACATAGACAGATGGGCAGACAAACACACAAGTTCAACTCAAAACATAACCTTCCATCATGTCTGAGTTGAGCATATATTTATACATTGATGCTGTTTTGATTAATTTATGATTTTACATAATAAATACATGAAATGATTTGCGCAGTTGCTCTTAATCTTTATTTAGATAGAAGATTCCTAGATAACTGCAGAGACAAACTCTCCCCCATAAAACCCCAAATCTAATTTGTATCAACAAAACCCATCTTTACATAAAGATTGTTTGATTGTTTGCTAGGTTGGACCCATTCAACACGGAGAATAGGCTACAGGCTTATAGATGCATTGGTTCTGAACTTCTAAGCCGTCAGTCAGCTTTTTCAAGTGATGTTTTAGTCATAAAGGGTCAAATAAAATGGTCATTTTTCACTAAAACTTACATAATGTCTCTATAACAAAGAACAGATCGTGATTCAGATCAGTTAGATTACCAAACTGATTCATGTTCACTGATAACTGATGATCTTGAATTAAATTCACTGATCCAACTTTAATTACATTTTTCATTTCCTATAATTTGTCACAAATAAATCTTAAAAAATGTATTCAATACTTGACATAATTTACAAATTGGTAATTCCACTACATAGCATTAGGTTTATTTCCTCAAGTTTTCCCTTCTTCCTTTAAAAGCTGCCCTTATTCACACATTTCAATAGTTTCATCAGAAGAAAAGAACATTTTGACTGAAAAGCAAATGTTAACTTTCTTGACTTTGGTCCAGTTTAATCCTTGTGTCAGCAGAGATTGGATTTGGCATAAGATTTTCCTTCTTTTGCCCTTGAAGCTATAACATAATGAAGAATAACTGCCAAATATATAAAATCAAAGAAAAAAAAAACTCATCCTCTACTCAAGTTTTATTTAAATGATTTTGGACATCATTTATACTATTACTATTGATTCTATTCAAATTAAATAAGCTGATGAAATCATCTCTCTTCATTCAGTTACTTGCCTGTTTGATGTACAGACTATCTGCAGCTTCTCTATTTGTGTCTGCCTCAATGCCGGTCCGTAACCAATAACAAACTATAAATATATTAAAAGACATTGCATGCTTAGAAGCATCACTTTTTATTTGATGAACTGTATTTATTATTATAATAAATAGGGGAAGATATGTCCTGACGTAAGAGTCTTGACTCCTTGAGAAAGAGCAAAAAAAACACATAGCCTCAGGAGAAGGACAGAACATCTTGAGAAAAAGGATCCGCTCCATGGATCTCTTTAGGGCACAAGAGAACTGGACAGTTATCATTACAGAAATAGCAAAAATTCTGAGGGAAATGAAGGCTTTGGCTAAGGCAAACTATCTCTTTCATCATCAAACCACTACCAAGAAAAGCAGAAATCACATCTCCTCTGTGCAGTATGGTTACCAATCACCTCTTATTCTATCCTTCCTACAAACCTGAATATAGAAAAACATACACAAAAAAACACTCAGATGTTGTATGCCAAAAATGTTATGTTTTCATACGTTTTTACAGAAATGTTGTAATATTGCAACATTGGGCTAAATGGGGAGCAGTACTACTGATTCATTTGCAGGGTTTTGCTTTTGTCCCAGAACAGTTTAACATGAAAAATAATCTGTCATGTTGTTATGAATTTTTTTTTATTCACAATGATAGTTCCAAAAACAGTTCCTGTCCTCTGAAAAACAGAGGCAAACATCGCACTTGCTGCACTGGGTATTCTTATACTCTTTACTGCAATGTCTGCAGCGTCCTCTTTTGACCTTCATGGGAAATGTCCAGTGAGGTTCTTGTGCACATCGAGTGGGGGGTGCGCACATGATTTTTTGGAGGGACAATTTGGACTCCCATCATCTGAGGATGGTCTCTTCCTAGCAGTAAAAGGACTCCCTGTTGCGTCTGGGCTCCCGCTGCCTGATGATGGACATCTTCTCTTTGGAGATGTGAGTTTTGTGTCCATCTGATTTGTGCACATGTCAAAAATGCATGAAGATATCACAAATCATGGCAAATAACAGAAAGAGATTCTTACCAGGATGAAAGAGGATGCTAGCTGTGCCTGGAACTTTCTCATGTTTAGCATCTCCTCCTTTGGCATCATGAGAGCTTGATAGTGCGGTTTGTAGAGGAGCCAGGCGTTGACCACGGCGAGGGTGATGGTGTGCCAGAAGATGTACATGTACCAACGCCGGGATTTCAGGGTATACTTGTATTTTGCTGTAAATGAGTCCAACAAATCCACACCTCCCATGTATTTGTTGTAGGTAGCCACAATATAAGGTCTTTCAACCTCAATGTAGGTTTTGGTGGCTTTGTCCCGGCACTGAATCTCCTGCACAGGTTCTGGTCCAGTCAAGGATGACACAAGTGTGACTGCCCTGTCGTCATACCATTTTACAGCGCAGATGTTGTGTGTCCCCTCCACTCTGTGGTCAAAGCTTCCTCTACCCTTCTTTGTCAAGCTCTTCTCATCTTCAAGGTTTCAGTTGGGGAGCAGCGCCTGTCTGCCTGTACCCATAAAATGGATTCCATGCTCAAGGAGCTTAATTACCAGTGGAACAGAGGTGAAGTAGTTGTTTGGGGAGATATTGTAGTTCTGACCCTTCGGAAGTGTGGAGACAAGCTTCAGCACAACATTACCTGACAATCCAAGTTCAGATTTGACACGTATTCCATTCTTGCTGTCCTGGTAAACGTCAAAGTTATGCATCATGCTAGGGATTCCAGCTCTCACCCATACTTTGAACCCCTATGGGTGTGGCTTGCCTGGCATATACTGCTTGATGCTGCTGAACTCCCCCTTGAAAGGAATCATAATTTCCACCACAGAATTGTGCTCTTCTGGTTCCACCTGCAGGCATTTCTCCCTGAATGATTCAAACCATGGTCTTAGTTTCCAGAGTTTGTCCCTCTTTTCAATCTCTGTCAAATTGTTCACAAAATTTAATCTTGTCAACAGAGATTGGAATCTGTTGCAAGGCATCACATCAGAAATAATATTCACTGCCATCTATTGGGGAAATGATGGTATTTCACTCAAAAGAACACTAAACCCTATAGAGCTTCACTGCCTCCAACCTATTGCAGAAAAAAGCCTCGAAAACACAGAAAAACATGCTTTCATCGGCGCTTTGAAAGATACCTAACCTGCGTAAACCTACAATTCTATAACAACATCATTGGCATATGTTGCAGGATATACTGTTATGCTTTCTATGGTTACGAGCAACACTGTTTCATTGAACCGAATGGAAAACATTAGCTTTAGCTAATTTTGGCAGTACAGTTCAGCAACTTTTCAAGGACAAACATGGTAACTTCAGTGTCCTTTTTAAATTTTCTCTCCTTCTTTTGCTTTTCTGCAGTAGTTCAAAAGACTTGCCCAATGTTTAATCTCCTTTTTTTATATATATATCTTTGGTTTCATTGTCTTTTAATTTTTCCCTTTTGTTTTCTTGGGGAATGGGCAAACCATTTCTTATGCTGCTGCTGCATATGCATGGTCCTGCATTGTGCTGCAGTAGTGAAGAATTTCAGTTTTCAGGTAACGTCTCCAAAGGATCTGCCTCTCAATCAACAAGGGGAAACGCCTTGTTACTCCGTACATTAGTACAATTTTAATCCTTGGTAGTGTCTTTACTTCCAAGATGGCTGACTGTCATGGCACTTCGCAAACAGATGACCATCCTTATTTGTAAACTAATATAAAATTCTTTGCTTATGAAAATGTGTGTTATTATTTGTGGAGGTAATAATACAGCAGTAATAACACATATATAAATTCAGTCATTGATTTCAAGCAATGAAAAAGAACCTTTAAACTGAAAATCATTTTGTACAAAATTGTCAATCTGTGTCTCACACTTCCTCTGTTGAGTTGCGCCTCAGCTGCTTCAAACTCTTAAAAACCTGTGGAGAAAGTCAATTCCTTCCTGTCCGGCTGTTCACATAACCGTGCGACAGCTGTTGCTGCATGAGTCCTCTGAACATTTATTTTTTTATTTCTACGTTGTAAATAAACTCACATTGAAGTATTGGAAGGGAATGTTTGACTCACTAAGCAAACTGCAGGAAACTGCTCTTAAAATCAACCACAGCTGAATGTTGGACTGAGGCTGGAGATATGTTTTACAAAATGTGGACCAAAGGCCTTTAGAATAATTTAATAACAACAGACATGAACCATTTGTACTAATTACATTTAAGCGTGCAAACCACTAATCGAGTCATGTCGTTATTCTGAAGGCTTGTCAACAGAATTATTAATTACATGAAATAATTAAATCAGATAAAGAGAAGCCTGTGAACCACTTAAGGCAACCCAGTTTGAGTCCTCAGCGCCAGTCAAAACACTCAAATTTTTCCATCCATCCCACTGCCGCTGATTCTGTTAGATACATGAGCAGCGTCATGTACCTGAAGGAGAAGTTGGAATTGTTGCTTTCCAACTTCATGCAGAAAATCTCACACATTGGATGAAAATATAGTCCATTCGCTCAGCTTTCTATAAATATTAAATATTTGTGTCTCTTTTTAAGGGGACTTCTTCAAGGACTCTCTTCCTGTGGCAGATCTTTATTTTCTTGCCAGAATCCTCCACGACTGGACAGACGAGCGCTGCATAGAGCTTCTGTGCAGAATCTATAAAGCCTGCAAACCAGGTCTGTGTGTGTCTCTGTGGGTGTGGGGTGTGAAAGAGATGAGTGTTTTTTTTTTTTCTAATGCTAGAAATGAGATCACAGATTGTACCCCACAATGCAGCTGATCCCAGGAAGGTCTGTCCTTCTGGCTTTGATCAAAGTCAGACTGCAGACACAAAAATCAGACATTATGAGGGAATGGTGCATTAAGGAGATTAGGGACAGCAGTTTATACAAGAATAGGTAGATTCTTTTACTAGACAGTCTGTTGCTTAAACGCTAAACTGGAACTATTAAATCAACCAAGGATGTGGGTTGTCAACATCTCATCTCATAAATGTACACAGATACGAAGTCTGCAAATTAATGTAAAGCGAAGCACGGAGCACATAACTATGTTTGTTAAAAAGTGTAAAAAGTGTATCCCCCACCCTTGAGTTCAGTAATCCTTAAATAAAATGCAGGGCGGCAGGCAGGGACCAATATGCACTGAGGGGTTCCCGAAAACTGATTTTCACGGTAAATCTATACTGATCCCAAAGAACCAACAGGAAAATGAATGCGCACAATGTTTATACTTTACAAATAAATCACTGAACAAAGAGCAGATTTTCATTAATCTGCATATATTTATACATTAATGCTGTTTGGATTAATTTATGATTTTACATAATAAATACAGGAAATGATTTGCACAGTTGCTCTTAATCTTTAATTACATAGAAGATTCCTAGACGACTGCAGATACAGACTCTCCCCCATAAAACCCCAAATCTAATTTGAAAATGGGCATTATTTTTGTATTAGTCATCTTTTGTTTGTATTACATTGTAATGAATGTTTCTTTTCTGTATTTTAGTTGTCAGGTTTTGGTTAATATAATAAATTTAAAAATAAAAGAGGCACTAGAGAGTTTTCTAATGATACTGTCATCTGTGGCCAAAATACAGAACTGCAGCTCTCTTCTGGTTGTTCTCGTAGCTTGTGCACATACTTAAAGGTATAGAGGAGGATCGTTTATTTCTGGGTGGATCATCTAAATAAGCAAAATAAGGCTCTCCTATCCCGTAGCTATGTTTTTCTGCACATGCGCACTTTCAGGTGTATATCTGTGATGAGCTATGGTTTCAGATAGTCGTTCAAGCTCACCTTTCTCACCGCTGTTCTTCAAAAATGGCAGAGGGTCATAAGAGAAAAAGTGTTTACGAAGTGAATGAGTAGGAAAGAAAGGCCTCAGAAGAGGCAGATATATCCTGGAATTATGGGATGTGCTTTCAGAGCGGCCTGCTGTCTCCATAGGCTGTCGCTAACCAACAGCGGCTCCTAATAACAACAATGGTGCAAATACCACTTGGTAGAGGAGGAATTACATGACCAACTTACTGAGGGCAAGTTGACTGAGTTGCCTCTAAAGTCTATATATTGATTGAGGGATTTCGGGGTCAGGACGAACCTTCAGACACAGTCAGCTTGTATGAGCTATGAGAACAGCAACTTTTAAACACAGCGTGCACTAGTAGAAATTGGCACTTGCATACTCTCGCACGCATTCAATACTGTAGGCATTCCCTCTTGGGAGCGGGTACAGGGTTGTGCATGTGCATTTTTTTTTTCAAACGGGCCTTTTCAAAAATTTGTGAAATCCCCCACAATACCTTTAGCAAGTTTTTTTTTCCTTTACTTCTTTCACCTTACCTGGAGTTGCCATTAGGGTGTGAGTTGAGCTGGATGCCTGTCACTTCTGAACAT